GGAGGGGGAGGAGGCTGCCTGGAGACAGACGTCATGGTTGGCCTCGCTGATGCCTGCCAGGGCAGCTGCCCACCCTCAGGCTCCAGCATCACCATGCAGAGCACCAGGTGTGAGGCCTGAATGGAGACCTGGCCTCCCTCCCTTCTCTGTCCTCGAGGGTGCTCGCCATGGTCACATGCCAGGCTGGCACCCAGGACTCCCCCTTCTAACTCCTCCAAAGACCCGAGGGCAGGATGTCACACCCAGGCTGCCAGGAGCTGGGGTCACTCTGGGGATGAGCCCCGGCTGGTGTTAACGAGGCCCAGGCCAGATGGACAAGCGGCGGGTGCCCGGTGCCAGCTAGGAGCAGGCATGTCGTGCCGTCAAGTCTGGGACTGAGTGAGCCTCCCCAGCACTGCAAGGCCAAGCCGGTGACCTGCCCCACGGACTGAATGAAGACCAGAGAGGCTGGGTAGCTCCCCAGAGGCCACACAGCACTTGAGGGGCTAGGCAGATGTCCTTTTGCTTGACACCAGCCTCTTGGCCATGTCTTTCCATTTCCAGGGTCACCATCTGGTCCCATGTCAACCTCATCCCTCGCCCGGGTGGCCATGGCAATCACCTGCCCACTGTTCCTCCACTTCCGCCATTGCTCTTCTGAAGCCCACCCTGTCCTGTTCCTGGTGAGCACCTATGGTGCCCAAATGATCAGGACCTTCCAGTGACTCCCCTGGCCTTTGGCCACTGGGCCTCAACTTGACTCTCCAGACCCATTTCTGTGTCACCTGCCCCCCAATTCCCCAACCCTCCCTCACTGTCTAGGATTCTTCCTCCATGCGCCCCCCACCTTGCTCACAAATCCATTCCTGCTCACCTTCTTGCCGTTTCTCGAACACGCCAGGCCAGCATCGGCCTCGGGCCATCGCCCAAGCTGTCCGCCTTGCTTGGAAACCACTAGCAAGCTTATTGGAAATGTAGTTCTCGGGCCCCTTGCCAGAGCTGATGAATCAGAAACGCGGGCCTTGGGCCCAGCCTCCGTCTTTAAACAGATCCCGCAGGTGAAGTTCACAGGCAAATTCTTTAGAATAGGAAGTTTAGATCCTAGCTCAAATGCCACTTCTTCAGGGAACCCCTCCTTGAGCCCCAGACCTCATGACACCCCTGTTGATTGTGTGATCTACCTAGAGTCTTTCTCATCCACTGGAATGGGAAGGCCACGAGCCCAGAGGACACACTGTCTTTGTCAACACGTCTACCCCGGCACCTAGAGCTGTGCCTGGCACATAGTAAGTGTTCAATAAATTCGTGTTAAGTAAACGAGTGGCCATGGGCGCAAGCCCCCTACCCCAGCCCCTCCTGTGGCAGACACAGATGCACCGTGTGCCTGGTCCAGGCCAGGTGCCGAGACAAAATTGTCTCCTCCTTTCAAGGAGCCAGCTGCCCAGGGGAAAATACACAGGGGCACGATGGATTGAGCTGGGTCTTCAAGGAGAGAGGGACATTTGCCAGGCAGAAGCCAGGGCAGGGCATTTGGGGTAGAAGGAACGGCACCGTGAGATGGGACGATGACGGGAATGTGGGGGTGGGATTGCAGAAAACGAGTCTGGAGAGTCAAGTTGAGGCGTGGGGGCTGGATGCCACCCACTGAGCACCAGGCTGCGGAGCGAGGTGGGCACGGCACAGTCCTGAGCTCTGTTTAAACAGCGCCTGGCCTGCCAAGAAGGTCGGGTTCTTTCATTCATTTTCTCCCAAAGCACATGTTGAGCACGGCCATCCCAGGTGCTGGGACAATGCAGGCCGGCTCCAGGGACCGGCACCCGTCCTCCCGTCCACTCTCAGGTCTCTGCAATAAGCAAAAGGGACGTCCCAGCCTCTCCCTGCCTCACTCTTTTCTCTGCCCCCATCCTGAGCCCCTCCCTGCAGCCTGGGGGGGGGGACCCTGGAGCTGCCCACAGCCCCTGGCTCCCGGGTCTCGAGTTTCTGCAGGGGGTTCTAAGAGGATCTTCCTGGAGAGGGAAGCAGCCAACAGGATCCACAGGGGGACAAAGGCGCCTTTGTCATTTCTGCCAGGGCTGCTCCAAGAATAGCTGTTTGCTCAGCCCCCAGCATGACTGGTGCTGAGTGGGGGGGATGGTGGGGCTCCGGGCTCTGATGTGGGCCGGGTGTTAACCCTCCGGACCCTCTGGGCCTCCTCCTCTGGACCCTCTGGGGCCTCCTCCGGTTTCTCACTGGCCCAGAAGAATAAAGGCGGCAGGAAGCATCATTCCAGTCAATAAGGCAGGATCCTAAGAGACCATCCCCTCTGGGAACTTGTGAAGCTCACTTTCTAAATAGAATTGTGTGCAGATGGGCAAAGCGGGGGCAGGGGTTCAGCAGAGCCCCCCCCCCACTCCCCAGGACCTCCCTCCCCCACTCTTGGCCAGTTCTGCACCTCTGACTCTGGTTCCCTCCTCCCACTTAACACGCAGTGACACAGAGAGGGAAAGCCACTTGCCCTGGGCCAACCAGCAAGCTGATTCACAAAGCTGGGATCTGCTGGAGGGAGGTGTCCCAGACCCGCGACTTTTTGCCAATACCATATACCATCGGTGGCACTGTTGGCTCCGTATTTTCTTTAAACTGGCTCACACTTTCTTAATAGCTTTATTTAAAATGGAGATGTTGTAGCATCCCATAGATGGCTTTCTCAGGTGCCGTAAAAAAGAGACTGTGTCATAAACACATCAGCCTCGGTTCCTCTAAGGCCTTCAGAGGTCCCCGCCTCCCGGGGAGAGGCTCACCTTAGCCTGCTGAGGACCAGCTACTGCGCCCAGCTGGGCTGGGCTCTGAAGGATGAGGCTGGAGGAGCCTGGCCCCTGCCCCCCCCCCAGGGGAAGCCTGTGACCAGAGGAGGGCAGGTTCCCTCGGCACCACCTGGCGGGACCTGGAGGGAAAGGTGTCACCAGCCCTGCGAGTGGAGGCATGGAGGGGGAGGGGGGGCGATCGTCCATGTATTGTGGGCTGGCTGACAGGCCCTCAGAAGGGCAAGGGACACATGAAGACCCCCTCAGCAAGCCCGCGACAAAACTGGGCCCAAACGCAGAGCTTCTGCAAATGCACCCCGTCCAGGGCCTTTGCCTAGACTCTGGGTCCCTCCTGATGAGGGAAGCTGGTGGGCGGCAGCCGGCCACAGCCACCAGGCGTCCAGCGTCCCCCTGGCAGGCCAGGACTTTAGAAGGAAGCAGAGAGACCAGAAGCAGCTCCTCTGCCCGCGCCGGGGATGGGCTGCCTGAGCCTCGCCCGCTGGCGCCTTCAGTGCCCGGGACCAGGGTCTTCGCCGGGAGCCCCTGCACACGGTGGCCTGCTCCTGCCATTCGGGGTCTGTGTTTTGCGGGTTTGTTGGGCTTCTGCTCTGCTGTGGCCTGAGTCCAAGGCCTCACATGCCAGGCAAGTGCCCCCACAGCACCACACCCCCAGCCCCAGCCCCTGGCCTGGGTTAGAGGCTCGCGCTCCCGCCACAGCCACCCAGGGCTCTGACCACTGGGCAGCAGCACCCACGGTCCCCGGAAACAGGTGAGAACACCCACTCTCTGGCCAGCCCTTCTGCAGATCTGAGCGTCCACAGTGGTTTGAGGCCTGCAGCTGCGGCTGCCGCTAGACTCCGAGAGGCGCCCTCCTGGGCCTCCCATCCCACCCGGCCCCTGCCAGCTGCCTCACCTCACCCAGTGAGGCCAGCCAGACTCTCTGGAGGCGTGGGAGCGACAAGTCTGCAGTGTTAAGAAGGAAGAGGGTCGGAAGGTCAAATAGCACCCCTGTCGGCCTGAGGCCCAGCCAGAGTCACAGACCCCTGGCACCCAGAGCACAGGTCCCCAAAGACAGATGCAGGCGCCTCCTGCTCCCATCAGTCACAACCCCCTGTGAATCCCACCCGGAACCCTCTGAGCCCTCCTGGGCCTTTAGGAATCCTCAGATCAAGGGCTGGTTTGAGCAAAACCGCACCTTCCGCCGGCTCCCTGTCCCCCGTTACCTCCCTTAAGCCAGGGTCTTATCAGCTCGGGCTGCCATGACCCCGCTGTGGGGGCAGCTCACGAACAAGCTCCCTTCTCACAGTTCCGGAGAGGAGGAGTGTGAAGTCCGCCTGGCTGTGAGATGCAGGGCCTCCTCCCTTGCTCCCTGGCCGGCGTGTGACCTTACCCTCGCGTGGCCTCCTGGGGTGTGGGGTGTGGGGGCATAAACACTCGTCCCCTCAGCCAGACCACACCAGCTGGCCCTGCCTGAAGTCTGGATGGCTTTTCAAGAAATCCAAGAGCATTTCCTCCTCAGTGGAAATGATGGTCAGTCAGCAGGAGGAGAATCCCGGCCAAGGGTCCTTCAACAGAGCCACCCCGTCCTGCCTATTTAGGACCCTGGTTCTGGGCTCCCTCCCTGTGAGAACCGGTGACAGAGACAGGGAGGCAGGGTCCTAGGCCCAAGTCTGTCTTTGGAGCAAATTCCTCCCTCTGTCCGGGTCTCCTCGTCCACCTGTGGTACCATGTGCTCCCAAGGCACAGCACAGCACTGAGGTCTTCCTCGGAGCCCGGGACCTGCCCACGCCTGTAATCCCATCACCTCAGGAGGCCGGGGCAGGAGGATCATAAATTCAAGGTCAGCTTCAGCAACTTAGGGAGGCCCTAAGCAACTTAGTGAGATCCTATCTCACTAAAAAGTTAAAGGGCTGGGGATGTGGCTCTGTGTCGAGGCATCTCTGGGTTCAATCCCTGCTACCAAAAAGGAAAGAAGGTCTTCAGTCCTGAGGCTGCGGGTCCTGAGTACGGTTTTCAACACCAAAAAAGAAAAAGAATTCTCCAGGCCCCTCCCTGCTACTCCCGGTGTTAGCAAGTTCCTGTCGTGACTGAGTGATCGCCATAGGCTGGGTCCTCTGAGGTCCACCAGATGGGAGCCAGGAGAGCCCTTGCAGACCTGCCCTCCGGGAGTCTGCTCCTGCCGGCCCTGGTCACACCTGCCCAGGGCACCCCCTGACCCTCGGTCTTCTCTTCCCACAGCGCGGCCCCAGCTGGGGCCCAAACTTTCAGCCTGAAGCACTCGGAGGACGTGCGGGTAGAGGTCGTCCGCGACGGGGAGGCTGAGGAGGTGGCCACCAACGGCAAGCAGCGCTGGGCCCTCTCGCCCAGCACCACGCTGCGGCTCACCATGAGCAAGGCCAGCACCGAGGCCAGCGCCGACAAGGTACGCGAGGGAGGGACGGGGGTCGTGTGCCGCGGGCAGGCCGGACACGCCTGTCCCAGAGACGCAGAACGCAGCCACACGTGTCCTTGTCAGCCCCCAGAAGGCCACATCCAAAAGGCAAGAAAAGAAATCCACATTAAGAGTAGATTTTGCTTGAGCCCACCTATCAAAATGCCATTTTGAAGCCAGGCGCAGTGGCGCACGCCTGTCATCCCAGCAGCTCCGGAGGCTGAGGCAGGAGGATCTCGAGTTCAAAGCCAGCCTCAGCAACTCTGCAAGACCCTGTCTCTAAATTAAAAAAAGGCTGGGGATTGGCTCAGTGGTTAAGCACCCTGAGTTCAACCCCCAGTACCAAAAAAAAAAACAAAAAAAATCTTGACAAGTCATGAATATTAAACAATTAACAAGACGTCTTATATCCTTTTTCTGTAACAAACCTACGCCCACCCGAGTCCACACTAGTCACGCTTCAAGTGCTTGGCAGCCGCGTGGCTGGTGGCCGTTGCATCGGGCAGCACCTGTTAGGTCCTGGAACGACGGTGTCACAGGGGGTAGAGCGCGGGCTGCTGGGTGACGGGCCATTCCGATGCTCAGCACCACAGCGCCCTGGATCTCACTGTGTATAAAGTGGGGTGCTGAGCAGTCAGGGAGCCGGCTCGGGTCCCCTCGTTTCCAGCTCTACCCTGGGCCACGATGGCCCTGGGCATCCGCCAAAGAAAACACCTCAGGCTGCCCTCCCACCACCACCCGGGAGCTTAGAGGGAGCTGGAGGCACAATGTGGCAGATGTGGGGACCCCACAGGTAGTGGGGTGCCCAGGTGGGCAAGTGGCATCCTGGCTGCACTCGGAGGGGAGTCCCTGGTCTGGTGCCATCACCTAGGAGAGGACAACCCAGGAGTGCTTCCTGGAGGAGGCTGGGGGGGACTTGCCAGGCTGAGGCCGAGGTGGGGCTCCCTGGGATTTCCTGCTTGTGACCTGTGGTCTCTGCCCTCCTCTCTACCCCGTGTGCCCCACCCCCAGGTCACCGTCAACTACTATGACGAGGAGGGGATCGCCCCCATCGACCAGGCTGGGCTCTTCCTCACGGCCATCGGTGAGTCAGCGAGGCCGGGGTCTCGGGGCTGCTGTCCCCAGGGCTGCCCCCACCCTGCTGCTCTGCTCTGGGCTCTCACCAGACCTGGTAGCTGCAGGCGTGGGGAGGGCACCTCGCAGCCCTCGCCTGCCGTCCTGATGCCGGGCTGCCTGCGGGAGGCGGCCTGCCGTGGTCAGCCAGGACTCACCCCGTGTCGGGGTGCCCAGTCTGGGCTCTGTGGGCCAAGCCTGAAAAAGAGCTTCCCACTGTCCTTGTGCTCCTCAAGCCCAGTCCTGGGGGCACAGAGCTATGGCCTTGGGTCCTCGGCTCACCTGATCCAAGTCCTTCATTTGATCCACAGGATGGTGAGGCCCAGAGAGGTTAGAAAACTCATTCAGAGTCACACAGCAACCAGGTGGCAGGTGGATTCTGAATCAGGATGATTCCCCCAGCCCAGGTTCTCTCCATTGCACTACCCTGCCCTCCCCGGGTGCCAGGATGCTCCCTCCCAGGGAGGTAGAGCCTGCTCCGCTGGCCCAGGGAGGTGACCTTTGGAACCTGCTGGGATGGAGGTGTTACCCTGAGGCCCTCCCAGAGGTGACTTTGTCCATGTGGTTGAACATGGACAGAGCTGCCACATGGCAGGGGAAAAGAACTCAGACACCGAGCGCCAGCGATGTGCTGGGTGCTTTTTAAAAATAGCAATAATGGCTCCCTCCTCCCGCTGAGCCGCGCTGCACCCAGACTGTGTGGGCGCCTCAACAGCGAGTCGGGCTGCAGCTCTAGACCCTCGACCTCCACGAGAGCAGTCTATTCCCCTCCTCTCCTTTCTCCCTTTTTTCGGTTCTGGGGATCAAATCCAAAATCTTGTGCACCGTTGGTGCTCACTGGGCCCCCACCTGCGCCCCACCCTCCACCTAGCCTCAGGGTGATTCCGGGGACAGAAGTTAGTCTTGTCCCTGTTTTGCAGATGAAAAGAATCAAGGCTGTAAAAACCAACAAAAGGTTGCCTGGGGCCACACACCTAGAAAGTGGCTGATGTGACTAAGTCACTTGGGTTCCGTCACATCCTCCTCCCGGGGGTTTTGGAAGCTCCCCCCTCAGCCCCACCAGCCTCCTCTGTGCCCTCAGCCACAGGAACAGGCTCGGGGCCGCACTTTCCCATTCCTCAGCCGACCCCCAGTGGGCCTGGTGGGTGGTCAGTCTGTTCCTCTTTCTGCATCCAAGGCTGGCCAGCCCGGGCCTAGGACTTTGATGGGGATGATCTCAGGGGGCCCTGGGAGATGAAACCAAAGACGCCCTGGTTTGCTGGGCCCTGGCACGTGAGCGCACCCCACATACACACAGCCTCAGGCCGTCTCGGATGACTGTCCTCAGAAACCGAATCCCACGGGGGCAGGGACACCTGAGGACAGAGACCTGTCAGATGAAGGTGATCCCTGGGGCTGCCTGTGCCAGACTGAAGACAGACGGAAACCAGGGGGAGGACGGGCTTTTCTCCTTCATGAGAAGACAGAAGCTCAGAGGGAGCCCCACGGCCTCCTGCCGTCAAGGGTCTGAGCTTCTGCGTTCCCTGGACACTTGTGTATTTAACTGCCGTGACATCCAGATTCCGAGGTTCCACGGGCCAATAAAATGCCCCCTCTGGGCCCCTAAGAAACATAAGAAGCTTGACCACGTTGATGCATGACCAAACAAAAGACATTAATATAACAGCTTGCGTTCAGCTCTTACTGTCATGGCACCATGAAAAGTGACAGGTCCTCTCAAGAAAAGGCCAGGCCATTTACAGAGTCACAAATCAAGCTAGAGGAAAGCTTGCCCCTCTGAATTTGTGCTTCCTGATGCACCAGGGACCCTGAAGGAAAGGAGACTGGCTTACCCTGGGAGCACTGATCTCCGCATCCCCCACCCCAGGCCTCCTCTTCCTCCAGCATCTACCCCAGGGGCCCTTGAGCCCCCATCCGGAGCCATCAGTAGGGCCAGTGCCGGGGAGGCAGGAACACCCGAGACCACACTGAGACCTCAGGCCACCACCATCCCGAGCCTCAGTTTCCTCATCTGCAAGATGGGACGCACTGGGCATACTTGTGCGGGGCTTCCAAGGATTCACGGAGTGGCACGTGCAAGGGGACCGTGCCAGTGCCAAGGGCGCAGTGCTCAGTGGGTGCCCTCTGAGCCTCCCTTCCTCAGGGTGGCCACAGGACTCTGCCTGGATGACGATGAAGCTTACTGTCCCGCAGTCTCCTCCCGGGGAATTGGGAACAGATAGATGGTGCCCTTGGCCAAATCAGGCCCTAATTTAGTCCAGTCCTGCAAGAACTCGCTGTGTGACCGTGGTGAGTAGCCCGCACCTCTAGGCCTCACTTCTCCAAGCTACAGAGTGGAAATTAGCCTGAGGACCTTCAGGACCCTGATTGGAGCTGATTGCAAAGCCTTCCCCTGAGGGCGAATCGGAGGGGAGAACCTGAGGAGGGGGCCCGCTGCCAGGCCCTGGCGGTGAGAGCAGCGCACAGAACGGGCCTTGGGAACCTGTAGCCACCAGCTCAGTCGCTCCTCGGGCCCCTGACCAGCGCCCGCGTTGGCTGTGGGGGAGGGAGTCCTCGCTCCCCGCCGCATCCCAGGCTGCTCAAGCCCCGGAGGCCAGCACCCTGCCACTGTCCATGGGGCTGGCAGCGGCCAGCGTCTTGATCCTCAGGGCAGACGGCCTTGAACCCAATCCTAGTGACATTTCCCGTTAATCTGCCCCACACCCAGGCGCCACCCGACCCCTGGGAGCTATTCAGAGGATCTGAGGTAGGAGCCCGAGCCTCTGGGAAATGTCTGGAGCCCGAGTCCCTGAAACAGGTGTCCTCCCCTCCTCCCCCTGGGCGGGCAGCGCTCTGGGCAGGTCCTGCCAGCCCCGATCACTGTCCCCGCAGGCCTCGGCCCCCTGACACTGGGTTACATCAGACACCGAGGAGCCTGGCAGGGGAGCCGTCCCAGGGGATGGCTTACAACTTGGGGGACCTCTGAGGGAGGGTGAAGGGCAGAGAGGCCATTGCAGTTGGCTGTAGGGGCAGGTCACAGGTCCCAAAGAGAAGCAGGAAGCACCATGGGAGGTGGGAGGAGGTGATAAGGGGACAGTGGTGTAATGCCCGAATTTCATAACAGGAAGGCCGCAAAGCCTGGCCCAATTTAATAAAGCAGGAAATAGAGGTATTGTTTTATTTTTGTACCAGGAAGATGAAAAGAAGCGCTGGATCAGAAACCATTTAGTGCTGTTTTGTTTGATTTTTTTTTTTTTTTTTTGCATATGGTACAAATATCACATTGAAAATTTTTGGTTTCTTTGCTTGTGTTTTTGTTTTGTTTCTTGGTGCTGGAGATCGGATCCAGGGTGCTTTACCACTGAGCCGCGTCCTCGGCTCTTTTTTGTTTGTTTGTTGTGAGGCAGGGTCTCACTAAGTCGCTGAGGGTCTCACTAAGTCGCTGAGGCTGTCCTCAGGCTTGCAATCCTCCTGCCTCAGCCTCCCGAGTGGCTAGGATTACAGGTGTGTGTCACTGTGCCTGGCTAAATTGATAAAACTTGAAAAGTTAAGAAATTCATACTGCAACAAAGCAACGCAGAGCGCTTCCTAATCGCTCCCTAAGAAGCGCTGCTTCAGTGGACAAAGAGCTTCCATGCAGCTTAGAGACAGAGGCCCCAGGGCTGCAGGGGTGGCGAACGCCTCTTTCTCTGGTCTCCACCTTCAGGGGAGCAAGCTTTGCGTCTTTGAAGGTGGCCTTGGTTTTTGGAAACAGCCCAGGTAGGAGGTCAGCCAGAGGTCAGCCAGAGGTCAACCTAGATCCATGGAGACCACAGAAAACAGACCCGGAGCCCCGCTGCGCTCCAGGAGCTTCAAGGTCGCATCCCTGCTGGGTGCCTGTGTGGACGCCGGGTGGTGGCAGGTCCCAGGGAGCAGGCTGGGAAATCGGTCTGCAGTGGGCACAGGTGAGAGAGGAGCTGGCCTCCAGCACCAGCCCTGCTCCTGACCTCAGCCTCCTTGGCAGCGCAGGCGCCCCCCCCTCCCGGGGCCCTTGCTCCCCGCTCCAGGATCTCCGGGCCAGCTCCCTGGCGGGAGCCCTGGCTTGCTCTCCCGCAAAATGGGTCCAGTGACAGCTCCCTCCAGGACTGGAGGCTCCTTCAGAGCGGGTCTGTGCACGGTCACCAGGGCCCAGCCAGGTACCCGAGCCGCGGCACGGGCTCCACAGTGGCGGGAGTGGAGAAGTGGGCCTCGCAGCCTCCCAGGAGGCCCCGGGAGCAGGACACTGTAGGGTCTCTTCCAGGGACCTCCCTGCCCCCACCTTCTTGCCTCTGTCCACCCCAGGACGGCCACATTTAGGAGCAGGAGGCTGGGCAGAAGGAGGACTTGGGTGTGATCCGTGGACCCGTTTGGGCTGGACCACGAAGGGAAGGGTGACATCTGTGCCCCTCCTGTGCCAGGACCGCCTCACCCCCCACCCCACCCAGGGAGAGGGCTTGGCTGTCGTGGGGACTGACCGGGAACACATTCGTCCCACCCAGCCCGTACCTCAGTCCAAGTCATGCTGGGTGTGCGCGGGCCCCCTTGGGCAGCCCTGGGGCCTGAAACCAGCGCGTCTCACTCTGGGTGACACTCTTGATGCCACCCCAGCAGCACCCATCAGTCTCTTAACTCCAAAGAATTCATTATCTGGCTCAAAAGTCAGTAATGCCTATCATTGCAATTAGTGCAACGGCTAATTTTTACAGGAAAGGATTCCACTTTAAAACTGAGGAAATTGGAGCTCAGAGACGTTGTCTAATCTGCCCACAGTCACACAGCTCCCAAGCAGAGAACCAGGGTCCAAACCAACACTGTCTAATGCTAAACCTTTCCACTGCCCCACATTCTCCACAAAGCCTGTCTCCATGGCGGGCCCAGGGACGATAAAAGTCCCTTCCCTGAAAGAAGGATAAGCAGGGACCCTGTCTGGTCATCTAGCAGGAGCCCCGGTCACAGGTACCCTCAGATCAAGAGGGGCTGAAGACATGGTTTCTCACCCAGAGGAAAACCCTCGGTCCTTGTTGGTGGAATCTAGACTTCTAGGGGTTCTTAGAGAGGACATGTGCACACACAGACCCACCCAGATGGACTGGGAAAGACAGGGAACCCTGAGCTGGTACATTTTCAAATTATGACAAGTCGGACGGGTGCAGTGCGGACCTCAGCTCTGCTCCCACCTCCCGTGTGCCCCTGGGACTCCACCCTTCTGAACAGAGGCCCCAAATCTGTCCAGTGACGACCGGTCCCCAGCCCCCAAGAAGGAGGGAGGGGGATCCCTGGCCTGTCCGGCAGCACCCCCAAGGCTGTAAGCTGCCGGTGCACACGGCGTCTGCAGAGGGGCCCTGGGGTGTGGACATTAGCCAGGGGCTCAGAGAAGATGAGCTCACAGGGCCCCCATCCCCAGCCACCGAGTCCCTGGGTGAGTGACACCCTAGTCCACAGGACCCCCATGTCCGTGCCACCCTGTCTGGCAGGGTCAGCAGCTCACCCATGTTTCTCCTCCCCAGAGATCTCCCTGGATGTGGACGCCGACCGGGACGGCGAGGTGGAGAAGAACAACCCAAAGAAGGTACCTAGCCATCAGGGTAGACGCCCCGAACTCGGGCAGCTCAAGGGCAGAGCCCCGGAATAGACCTTGTAGGCAGCCAGAGACTCCCACGGCACAGGACGCCCACTCGCAGACAAGTGTCATAACAACTGCCCTAAGTGCCCCCAAAAAGGCTGTGTGCGGGGCCATGGAAGGGGCTCTGGTCTGGGGACCAGCAAGGCTTCCTGGGAAAAGGGCCAGCTGTGCTGAGGCTGGAAGGGCGAAGAGATTTGACCAGCAAAAAGGAGGACATCGGTCCAGCCAGAGGACCAGCGTGGGCAGAGGCCCGGGAGCTTGGCATCTGGGGAGCAGAAGGGCAGCCAGTGCGGGTGGAACAGAGTGAGCAAGGCAAGGCGGAGACGAGGGAGAGGTGATGGCGTGGAGAGGCGGGCAGGTCTCCTGGGCCTCGCAGCCACCGTGAGGAGCCAGGCTTAGCCCTGTGTCAGCAGGGCGGGCTTAGGGTAGGAGAGTGACGTGATCGGTCCGTTTTTCTTGTAGTCCCCTGGCTGCAGGGTAGAAAACGAAGCAGCAGAAGCCAGGTGTGGTGCCCACGCCCGTAACCCCGGCGACTTGGGAGGCTGAGGCAGGAGGATCTCAAGGCCCAGGCCAGCCTGAGCAACTTAGGGAGACCTTGTCTCAAAATGATATAAAAAGGGCTGGGGACGTAGGCCAGTGGCAGCGTCCCCTGGTTCAGTCCCTTGTGCAGGAAAAGGAAAAGCCAGTGACGCACCACGCAGGCCCCATCCGGACTCCCGGCCTGGGGACCTCGAGTCCCGGCTCAGACCGTCCGCCCATGGCTCTGGCCGCCCTCCTGCTCCCAGCTCCACGCTACCAGGCATGGCCGCCCCACACCAGATCCTTCCTGTCCGTGTGTCCTGCATGTTCACATGGGTCCCCTCTGGGCATCAGACTTGGAAGTCACGTTTGCCAGATGATAGCTCGCACACTCACGCACACACACGCACACACACGCACTCACACCCGTAGATGGTGGCTGCTCGTTAGCCACATCCCGAGGTGCTCTCAGGTGTCCCTCAGGTTTCTGCACTGGGATAGAGAAGAGGACGCTCACCCATCCTCCTGCGCTTCCAGGCGTCCTGGACCTGGGGTCCTGAAGGCCAGGGGGCCATCCTGCTGGTGAACTGTGACCGAGACACGCCCTGGCTGCCCAAGGAGGACTTCAGTGACAACAAGGTCTACAGCAAGGAAGGTACCAGCAGGACGCCCGGGGCCAGACGGGGCAGGGGGCACCCACGCCATCCTGGGCTGAGCAGAGGGTCGGGCAGGTTGGACCTGGGCTTCCTGGGGACAAAGGACCCAAACGTCCACCTGTGCTCAAATGCAGTTCAACTGGAACCATGTTTTCTAAAGTCACACACGGGTAGAACAAGGAGGCCACCTGGGGTGTCGGAGGGGACGGCCAGTGTCGTCCTCTCCTTTTGGTCTTCTGTGGTTCCCATGACACTGGCATTGGGAAGCCAGCACCACCCAGGCCCATCACGCTGACCCCCTGTGCCTCTGCCCCTCAGACCTCAAGGACATGTCCCCGATGGTCCTGAGGACCAAGGGCCCCGACCGCCTGCCGGCTGGATACGAGATGGTCCTCTACATCGCCATGGGGGACTCGGATAAAGTGGGCGTGTTCTACGTGGAGAGTGAGTGACCCCTGCGCTGCCCCCTGAGGCCACCACCCTCCTCCCTTAGCCTCCATGGCCCCCGCACAGCACAGCCTGGGCTCAGGACTCGGGAGACTCCTTGACATAGGTCTGTCCTCTCAAAGGAGACTGTAGTGACCTGGGTCTGTGTCCTTCTTTCTGGTGCCCAGGAGACAGGGATTTCAGGGTTTCTCTCCTCTGGAGTTATGTCACCCTCAAGGTACCTGAGGCAAGGTGGGTGGCATCTCCACTTTTTTGTTGTTACTGGTTATTGAACCCAGGGGCGCTTAAACCCTGAGCCGCATTCCCAACCCTTTTTATTTTTTATTTTGAGACAGGGCTTCCATAAGTTGCCGAGGCTGGCCTTGAACTTAGAGTCCTCCTGCCTCGGGCCTCTGGGGCACTGGGGTTACAGGTGTGCACCACTTGCCCAGCCGTCTCTAAATTGTAAAGCCCCCCCCACCCAGAGATGCTGTGGGCACCCTCCAGGAAGTGACCCCTTGTTCCTCTCCATGGTGACAGGGTGTCCTGGGCCTCTGCTGTGCAGGGGACATGCTCTGCCCCAGAGCCAGTCCGAGGAGCTGCCTGCACTTGTCTCACGTTCTATGACCATGTGTTGAGTCACCTTGGTGCCAGCACCTTCCTCAGAGCTGGGATCCCTGCAGTAAACACAAGAGTCACACCCTGCCCTTGAAAAGCAGCCACCTAGCCAGGGGACATAATAAATAGCAGGGTTGGAGGAGACGGAATAGACGGAGTCACAGAGCGGGACAGGGCTGAGGCCCCGCGGGCTGGGTGGTCTGGGGAGGCCACCAGGGAGGTGGTGTCTGAGCTGAGGCTCTGTGAACAGCGAGGATCGAGGGGACAGCATCTGAGAGAGGGGAGGGGGTGTGCCGAGCACGGAGGAGGGTGCTGTTCTGAGCCTTGGAGGGGCAGGAATCCAGAGGGCTTGATGTGTGGGGAACCAAGGTCAGCGAGCCGGGCCGGGGGCCAGAGCATGCGGACAGGGTTTGGATTTATTCTAAGTGCAGTGGAGCCATTAGAGGGTTTAAGCAAGGGACGGTCAAGATCTGATTTATGTGTTCAGACCCCCCCAGCAAAACAGCCTTGCAGTTCACCATGCTCAGGGGCTCTCTGGGGGGCTGGGCCCACTCTTGGACAGGACCGTTAGAAAGGCAGTCACCCTGGGGGGGAGGCTCACCTCAGGGAGTGACTTAGCCAGGATGCCAGTGGACACGAGCCACCCCATGCCAGCCCCCTACAGTGCCACCCTGGGCCCTGCGCAGTGGCCACCAGCAGGTCGGAATGTCCCTGGAGTCGACTGGCTCCACTGCCCCAGGGGGCCGAGATGTTTACGCCGCCCAGGCCAGAGTTGCCGCGGCAGGAGGGGTGCAGGCAGGACCAAGGCCTTGGCCTTGACAGAGACCCGCGGCTGATGGAGAAGCCTTGGCAAGGTCTAGAGTCTCTGCCCCTGCTGGGGGCAGTGGGCTGGACTCAAATCTGGCTCCACATTTACCTCCCTCCCCCTGGCTGGCCATCTGAGATGGGTCCCAAGTAGGCAAGAAAAGAGAGAAGCCACCTCTGCAAGTCCTCAGAGAATATTCCCCGAGAGTGTTACCTGGGCTGCCTGTCCGCAGGGAGGGCCTTTAACTAGACAGTGGCCGCCACCCAGTGAGATTCCCATCAAAGGTGGCCTCTGGGTGGATACTGTGAGCCCCACCCAGGTGGAGAGGAAGAGAAATAACTCACCCAGGGCCCAGTTTCCTTGTCTTCCCCGTGAACATCTTGGCTTTGTCAAAACCTGAAGACAAGCCTGGTGCAGCGGTGCCCACCTGTGACCCCTGCCACGGAGAGGCTGAGGCGGGAGAATAGCAAGTTCAAGAGCAGCGTGGGGATTCAGCAAGACCCTATCCCAAAACGAAGAATAAAAGGGCTGGAGGTCTACCTCCGTGGGAAGCACCCCAGGGCTCAAATCCCAGTACTGCAAGAGAAAAAGCTACAAATGTGAATGTACCTGTGGTTGAGAATGTGTGCGTTTCACAAACGTCATGTGGTCACCTGTGTCCCAGCAGAGGTGGTCTCAATCTCCTGAAAAGCAGGGAGCAGGGGTCCTGGGAGGGAGCTCTGGCACCAGGGAGGTCTGCTCACCAGCCACAGCCCTGGGTCCTGCTCTGCATGGGAGCCCCCACTGCTCCAAATGGCAGGGGGACGGAATGAGGGACGGGCCAGACGCTCTAGGAAATGGGTGTGGAGAGCTCTCTATAAACAACAGCTATGCTTTGTTGGAAATATTGTGATTATTATTATTTATAATGATTGGGGTGAGATGAAGCCTCCAGTGCTCCTAAAAAAACCCAGTGACTCGGGTTCTGCCCAGAACCCCAAGAATTGGGGGTGTCACCTCTTCCTACAAGGACATGGTGACCAATTTGTCCCCATTTGCCTAGGACTTTCCTGGTTTTAGCATTGAACGTCCCTCAACCCAGGAAACCCCGTGGGCCCAGGCAAAACAAGACAGTTGGTCACATTCTCTGGAGTCACCCGGGGAGGTGGAATCATTCCAAAGTGACGGGCAGGGTCACACCAAACCACACCACGCGCTGGCCAGCGGTGGCCAAAGCCTGGGGCTGAGGAGAGGTCAGTGTGGCCAGCAGTGCCAGCACAAAGCACGAGGGCTACTCAGATGAGAGGCGTTGTTGGTGCCTGCAGGGACAGCCAGCCACGCCAGGGTGGAAGGAACAGGGGACAGCCGCTCCTCGGGACAATGGCTGGGTTGTTCCCATCAAGGAATCCATGCTCCTGGCACTGGCTCAGACTGCCAGAACGAGGCCCAGGATAGAGACACATTGTGAGTCCCAGGGCACAGGCCACGTGGGGAGGAGGGAGCTGCCAGAGGAGGGCCAGAGTGTGCCCTCCCTGCTGACCCCCTCCCCTGGCCAGATCCCTCTCGGTCCAAGACCCTGGTGGACCCTTTGCTGTCTGAGCCCTGGGACACTTGGCACCTGGGACTCCTGCAAACAAGGGGTTGGCTTCCGGGCCTGAGTCTCCTGAGCTTCAGCTCAAGTGCTGCCCACATCAGCCTGGGCACATGGGCCGGAGGAGGGGGGAGGGAGGGGCACTGTGTACAGACCCATGTGGACCCACTGGGGAGGGGGCCACAGGGCACACTGTTGGCTCTGGGTCAGATGGACCTCTCCTTCTGTGTTGAGCTGTGACGAGGTCCTTGGGATGCCCAGGTCTGTCTACCCCCTTTCTTCTTGGACCTACCCAAGGACCATGAGGCCAGATGCTGTTTCTTTGGTCAGGTGGGCTGACTTCCCACAGCCTCTCCCCTATAGCACCCATAGATTCCTGCCAGGTACCCATAGTTACCTGGTCCCCGAGGTTACTCAGGTGACTGATGCTGTACCATTTGCAATGACCCTGTGACCTGGGTGCTGTTGTCCTGTGCTTAACAGATGCAGCTTGGAGGGGTCAAGAGAATTCCCAGAGGTTTCCCAACCTATAAAGCCAGAGTGCGTCCAAACCGGGGCCTTTCTGTCTTGGGAAGTCGTAACCACTGAGGTAGCCCCCCTTAGTGACCTATGATCCAGGTCTGGTTGGACACTCTGTCCCACAGAGGAGCCACCCAAGCCTGGGCTTTGCAGTTGGTCCCCGCGTTTCACAGATATTGATCCTGACACATTTATAGCAGGCATTTTTTGGCTACTGTTCTAACCCCTGGGTCCTAACCCCAGGCGACGGGTCACTAAGCGTCATCAGTGCTGAGCTGAGCCTGATCCGCCCTTGCAGCCTGCAGGGCTACAGAGCCTCCTTCTGGGACTGCGTAGGGTCCCCTCTCCTTGGCTTTACCCAGAAAGTATCTCCCCGACACACCCCGCAGCCAACCCTGCCGCCTGCAAGGGTGTCCCCAACACTGCCTTCCTCCGCTCAGATGCCTCCCACCCAGCCCCCTCCCTCCCACCCACCTCAGCACAAGTAACCAGACAAGACCTCTCACCATGTAGCTGCCGTTATGACCGTCCCTCGCATCCCTTGTGTGCTCTATCTGAGCACTGGCTGAGCACTGCTCCTAGGCACAGATGCCGCGTGGTGACAGTCCGTCTCCCCAGAGGTCCTTGGCCATGCCAGTCACAGAGCAGTTACGCAGTTCCCAAGGACTGGGGCTGTGGCTCGGTGGCGGAGCGCCTGCCTAGCACACGTGAGGCCTCCGTTGCATCCCCAGCACTTGGAGGAAAAAAATAGATATCAATTGCTGGGCCTGAATCAGCCTGAAAATTCCCCGTTGGCCTCCCCCGTAGGGAGCAGTCGGAAGGAAGCCACTGGTTCATTCATGAGCATTTATGAAGCGTGATCAGGTGCCAGGCGGGAGCGGGGCCGGGCGGGCCTGTCTCTGGCCCACGCGACCATGTACATCTAGAAAGGACATGACAGGAAGGGGCAGCGGCTGTGGAAGCTCTAAACAGATCCCCAGGGTGTGCTCTGGAGACCTGGGCAGGATTCCCACAAAGGACACAAAACCAGACCTGCAGGAAGGAGGAGCGAGACCGTTCCAAGGGAAACCACCCACAGGACGGTGACGGGCTGGAGACCTCAGAGGGGCAGGAGCCCTGGCGCAGCCTGCATCCCTCCTGGCCCCGAAATTCGATGGCCAGAGATACAGCATCTGTCTGTTGTCACACCAGCATGGCTTTGGTGGCACAGAGGGGACCTGTGCATACAGACGGGCGCGCTGGTGTTTTACAAAGGGGTTGGGAGCTTGGTGTTCAGGATCAGGCAAGAATCAGGGTCCAGCTCAGTCACAAGCCACATCTTCTGAGACTCAGCTTCCTCGTCTGTGAAATGGGAAAATGGCGCCCTTCCCCCCCCCCCGCCCCCAGCTGTGCGATTACTATCTGCTCTAACTTCAAACACACAATTCAGGAGGGAGCCACTCCTTTCACAGACGAGCTGGGACACATAGTGCTGAGATGATAACGGACACCGCGTAGTCGGTCCTGGTGGCATCTGCTGCTGTGCTTTCCTCTGTGTCTTGAGGACAAGCCACTTGTCCCCATCAGTGATCTCGCCTACCTCCTGCTGATGAGCCAGGGCCTGATGCCGCTCCTTCCTCCTCCAGATCCGTTCTTCGGCCAGCGCTACATCCACATCCTGGGCCGGCAGAAGCTCTACCACGTGGTCAAGTACACGGGCGGCTCCGCGGAGCTGCTGTTCTTCGTGGAAGGCCTCCGCTTCCCCGACGAGAGCTTCTCGGGCCTGGTCTCCATCCACGTCAGCCTGCTGGAGTACATGGCTGAGGTGAGGGCCCAGGCCCCCATGAGGGGCTGCCCTGGGGGCCAGAAGGCCACCCCCGGCGCCCAGCCACGTTCCTCTGCCCTCACGGCACCCGGGCTGACCCAGGCCCCCACGGCCACACGTCTGCAGGGTCCTCTGCATGCTCTGGGGCTCTCTTCCTTAGTGCAATCCCAGGAGTCCCCAGGGGTGATGTTCCTGACCCTCCCCAGCCTGTGCCCTGGCCACCCTCCTCCCTACAGTAGTGTGGCCTGGTCCTGAGGCACAGTCCCAGTGGTCAGCCAAGGCCTAACCAGGCCACACCTGTGAGCTCTGCCAACCTCCGACTGTGTGCCCTGTTGTGCCTCAGTCGCACCCCTCATCCCAGCAGTGGGTCACACCAGCTCTGACCATAGGCTGAACCTCAAGTCCCAGCCTCAGTGGGGCCCTGTCCTGTGGTTAGCATCTCAGATATTTGCTTGGGCTTTGCAGAGGTTGGAAGAATAGGTGTGCTCCTGTCCCCTAGAGAAGCCCCTCGCTGAAGGCACAGCCTGAGGACCTGAGAGCCTCTCAGCACAAGGACCTTGCATCCCCAGACTCCGGCCCTCAGTCCCACCCCATCTCACTCAGGAAAGGGCAGGGACTGGCTGCGGTGGCAGACACAGGAACCCATCCCCATTTTTACCCCTGCATCCTTTGGGGGCAGAATAAATGGGATCTGCAGACAGTGGAGGCTGGTCCTAGCTGGGATGTCTGAGAACAGACCCTGGAATCTGACTGCCCAGGTTTCAATCCTGGCTTAGCCACCCCGAGACACTGGGCAGATGAACTAACCCCCTGTTCCTCAGTGTCCCCGTCTAAAAAGTGAGAAATTTTTTTAAGAGAGAGACAGAGAGAGAGAGACATTTTTTTTAATATTTATTTTTTAGTTTCCGGTGGATACAACATCTTTATTTTATTTTTATGTAGTGCTGAGGATCGAACCCAGTGCCCCACGCATGCCAGGGTAGCGCGCTACCGCTTGAGCCACATCCCCAGCCCCTGAAAAGTGAGAATTTTAGTAGCATTGACCCCCTGTAGCTCTTGTAAAGTAGAGCCTGGCATAAAGTAAGTGCTCAATAAATGTACCATTGCCATCAGTTTGGAAGGCAGGGTGGGAAGCACCCGGTTACATGCTGCTTTCTTTTGCTGTGTTGGAGACGCAGCCCAGGCCCTCAGCCATGCCAGCAAGCGCTCTCCCTCTGAGCTACTTCCCGGACTCCTAATGAGACTTCTCTCCCCACCCAGGGGATCCCCCTGACCCCCATCTTCACGGACACCGTGACATTCCGGATTGCACCGTGGATCATGACCCCCAACATCCTGCCTCCCGTGTCGGTGTTTGTTTGCTGGTAAGGGGCGGCCGCAGCCCCGAGACGTGGCAGGGCAGAGGGACCAAGGCTGGCTTCAGGGTCAGGCAGACCTGAGTTCGGGTCCTGGCTCCGTCACTTCCCAGCTGTGTAACCTAGAGCCAGCCCCAGCTCCAGGCCGGGCGTCGCTCTCGTCTTCAATCTGGGGATCCGAGATGTAGGATTTGGGGGCAGGAGAGGGAGAGTTCCCCTCCTCATTCTATTTGTCCATGACCTGGACAAACACTGCATAAAGTAGGTGGGTTTGCATGACCCTTGACCCCAGTGGCCTTTACAAAGGTGACCGTGAACACAGATGTGGTCTCATCTGCCCAGCTCAGACCACAGGTGCCAGGTCTAACGTCACCACAGAGGGTGGCCCTTGTCCCCGCTCACCCTTCCTCCTGGCCTCCTCTTCCTCACCCTTCTCAGCATGAAAGACAACTACCTGTTCCTGAAGGAGGTGAAGAACCTGGTGGAGAAAACCAACTGTGAACTGAAGGTCTGCTTCCAGTACATGAACCGCGGCGACCGCTGGATCCAGGTGTGGAGCCCAGGCCAGGGCTGGGAGGGACGTGGCCTCAGGTCAGCCAAGAGGAGATGGCTGAGTGTCCCACTGTGTATGGGGACCTGGTCAGCTTGTGCCTGCACATGGGCACAGACATGCATGGAGAAGTCAATTTGCTACAGTGTGGCTTCTTGTATAGCAAAGGGCTGTGTCACAACCTAGATGTCCCTCCATGGGGCCTGGGTGACAACATGCAGTGAAGTCTAAGTGATACTAAAAAGAAAGGCCGATCGGTAACTATGGATACAGGACACTCTTCAGCCTAACCTAAAGGAAAATATTTCAGGATATTGCCTTTTTTTAAAAAAAAAAAAAATAGGGTTGAAGCTGGGTGCAGTGGTGCACATCTGTAATACCACTGACTTGGGAGGCTGGGGCAGGAGGATCACAAGTTCAAAACCCAGCCTCAGCAAATTAGCGAGGCTCTGAGGAACTTAGTGAGACCCTCTCTCAAAGTAAAACATAAAAAGGGCTGGGGATGGGGCTCAGTGGTTCAGCCCCCCTGGGGACCAGGAGGTGGGTACGAGGCAGTCACCCTGTTTGCTCTGTGCCCCTCTGTGTGCAAACCCCCTCTGTTCCCAGAGCCTCCCCACTCCCTGGCCGACTGATGAGCATGGGCCTCCCCAGGGAGCCACTAACTGCTCTCCTCTGTCCCCACAGGACGAAATTGAGTTTGGCTACATCGAGGCCCCCCACAAAGGCTTCCCCGTGGTGCTGGACTCCCCCCGCGATGGGAACCTCAAGGACTTCCCCATAAAGCAGCTCCTGGTGAGATCCACGGCCCCCGTGGGTTGCCACTAGGGACCCTCACAGGACAGAGCGGTCAGGAGGGCCCGGGCACCCCGACTCACGGGTCCACTGTCCGGGACCTGTTTTCTCATCTGCAACGTGGGTCAGCTGGGATAGTGGCCACTGGAACTGTGGGAGACAGGGCCAGACCCAGTTGCAGAGGCCTGGCCCCTGCTGCTGTCCCCCAGGCAACTTAGAGCACAATGTTTCCACTGAAGAAAAACACAGTCACGTGACTGTCAAAAAGCCTGGCTCTGACCTCAGAGCTAGGCAGGGCTCGAGCTGGGGCAGAGGCAGGTTTTATTTAACACAGCCGGACTCCTCGGAGACCATCTTCACACCCCTTTCCTGCCCCCAGCCACACCATGGTGGAAGGCAGAACTGAAATCAGTCCCTGCTCAGAGGCGGCCCCGTGCCAGGCTCCCACCCGCCCCGAGAACACCTACTCGTGGAGTCCCCTCCCCCTTGGAGAGGAGAGGGCCGAGGTTGTGGGCCCACTGTCAAATACCAGAGGAACCTGGCCTTGCGCAGCGGTCCCTTACCAAAAATGGGACTTTGGGCAAGCCGCTGACCTCCACGGGTCCCAGTTACTCCTCTGTAAAGTGGGGAGAGAAATGTGTGGGGCATCAGTACTGTCCTCGCCGTTTCGGCGGTTTTCAGCCCTGGATGCTGCCCACAGACCCCAACCCTGCAGGGTGTGAAGTCAGATGGCCAGCAGCAGGGTGGCCACAGGTCGAGGTTTGACCTGCCCGGGCTCTTCCCTGGTCTCCACCTGCCTCCAGTGTCCCAAGGCCCCGGGCTGCACCGTCCCGGAGGCCAGCCCAGGCTGGCTCTGCTGCTTGCTAGGCCCTGCAGATGCTGGAAGCTCACCTGTGGCCTCCAGCCACCTCCAGCCAGCACCACGTTGCCAGCTCGGGCCCAGGCAAGAAAGCGCCTCACTGATGCCATCCACCCCTGCCGCAGGCTGTCCCTTGAGTCCCTCAGCGCAGCCAAGACAAGCCACAGCCTCCCACTCTGTGTTTTTTTTTAAGGGATTTTTGTCAAGGCAAGCTAGAGTCCCACTGCCAGTTCCCAACCAAGATCCCTACATCGTCACCAAAACATCACGAAAGGAACCTTAAAATTCAAGAGATCAATGGGATTATATTTTGATGGGCTCTTGGTGCTAGGAAGCATTCTGAGGCTACTCTGGGCCCAGTGGCCAAGCGTGATTGTTGGGGATGGGTTGGGAAGGTGTGGATGTTACATTTCTGCCAATTCTACATGTATTAGTCAGCTCTTACTAGCTAAGGTGCAGTAACAAGCAACCCCTGACTCTCAGTAACTGACAACAGAGGTTTGCTTCTTGCTCATGCTCCATATTGATAACTAGTTGGTCGTCTGTGGCTCTGCTTCTTCATGCCTGCCTCATCCTAGAACCTCAGCCCACCTCATTCTAGAGTCTTGTGCCTGGTACATTTTCCTGGAGTGTTCTAGAGCATTCAAAGACTTCATTCTAGAGCATCCTAGAGCCTCCGCCCACTCCATTCTAGAGCCCCAGCCACTCTCATTCTATAGCATTCCGGAGCTTGGCCCGCCTCATTCTAGAGCCTCCGTCTATTTCATTCTAGAACCTAGAGCCACAGCCTTAGTCTGAGAAATGCCATTCTGCCGGCCCATGAAGAAGAAGGTGGACAGACACACACAGTGACCCCTGTGGCTTCTGCTCACAGCTGGCATGTGTCCCCTCTGCTTATATTTCATTGGCTAAAGCAAGTCATGTGACCCTGACACTAGCCAGGATGCAAAATTCTCTTACTGGGAAGGGGATAGAGAACCCCTGGGAACAATGAACCAATCTGGCCCCTGCCTCAGGCCGCCTACTGGATACCTCTTCTAGAGAGGGGGAAACTGAAGGCCCAGGAAATTGAGGGATGCGCAGGAACCTAACAGCCCCCGAGGACCGATCCTGGGATCCCCACTGTGGTCTGCTTGGGAAGCAGCGCACCCTCACTCCCACGCACGCACGTGGGCACGCTCACGCACTCGGCACCCCCTGCTCTTTGTGGAAACAAGATGCCCCGGGAGGCCCTGGCGCCAGAGGCCACAGGCCAGACCTCGCGTGGAGAAGGAGCCGGCATCCGAGGCAGCCGTGGGGCTGAGGCCTGGCGGCAGGAGACTTACAGCAGGTGTCGCCTCTACCCAGGGCCCAGATTTCGGCTACGTGACCCGGGAGCCCCTCTTTGAGTCTGTCACCAGCCTGGATTCCTTTGGGAACCTGGAGGTCAGCCCCCCGGTGACTGTGAACGGCAAGGCCTACCCCCTTGGGCGCATCCTCATCGGCAGCAGTTTTCCTCTGTAAGAGACACTGAGGGCAGCGGGGGGGCGGGAGTCGGAGGGCCACTGATCTGCTTGGGTGGCCTGGGTGGCCCCTGCATGGTGTCGGTGCCTGGGAGAGTCCCCGGCCATGACCCTGTCAATAGGCAGACAACCCTGGAAAGAAAACAAGGGAGCCTTCACGTCTCAGCGTAAATTAGCACCTGATATAATCATCCTCTTCCCCAAAGGTGAGGGTGTAAGATGAGGTTATAAACCAGGTGGGAAGGAATGGGGGGGTCCAGTGGAGAGACACAGAGAGTGAACGGAAACACATCGGTGAACCCTCAGGGCTGACCGTACGTGAAAGAGACATGAGAAGACAGCCCTGTCCCCAGAAGCATGAGTCACTGGCTCCTTGGCCTGTCCACGCTGCCCTCCTCCCTGCCCTGCTAACCCACCAGCACAGGAAAGGCAAATTCTTTTCTCCATCAGGGCAGTGGCTAGGGAGAGAGAACTTGGGTTCTCACTTCACAAAAGGGCTGCCAGGAACCTGCATGTGCGAGACCAGCCAAGGTCTGGACATCAAGTCCCTCTGAGCTCCATGGATGCTCTGCTCTGTGGGACAGGCAGTGACCATTTGCCCACCCTCCTCTTCTTTCCCCTCCATTCGGTGGTCACTCATCCAGTCAGAATGAAGCTGTTTTGGCATCAGCCAAGTGTCCTGGACCAAGTGTCCCTGTCCCTGCCTTCAAGGAGACAGAAAAGGTCTCAGACATGCAAATAGGCCCTGAGGAAAGAGAAGGGTGAACAGCGAGAGGAGGAGGAGGAGGAGGAGGGAGAGGGGGCCCAAGGAGGGACCCCTAAGCCTCTGGGGGTGTGGAGGGGGCTTCTTAGAGACACGTAGGCCCAGCTGTGGGCCAGGCACTCCTCTGGGCTCTTAGAAGATGGACGCGGGTGGCATGGCGAAGGGTTCCTGGCCCAGGTGCGCCAGCTCTGTGGAGCAAGGGGAGCTGCGGGGATGAGGAGGAGGCACTGGAAGACCTGGTGGGGAGAGCAGAGGGCCGGAGCCACAGACCCAGGAGGGCGGGAGGAGGCTGGTCTAGCAGGCCAGGCAGGAGCCAGACCAGACCCCCTAAGGACCATAGTCTAAGGGTGTGGGGAGACCGAAGACCTCCAGGAATCAGGAAGTCAGGAAGGGCTTCCTGGAGGAGGTGTCTTTTGAAGCAATTAAAGATAAAGTGAGTGGAAGTCAGTGTCCCACGGAGCAGTGGACGAGGGCAGATTCGAAGCCGCCCCACTTCGCGGCCCCACCCCCGGGCACCCCAGGCAGGACTCCTGAGCACGAGGCTGGCCTCCCCTTCTCACCGGCACCTCGGGGGCGGAGGGTCCCGTTCTGCCCTCACCTGACGCTCCCCTTTCTCCCTGGGCTCCGCCTGCACCAGGGTCTCACCCTGTGGCTCAGGCTCCCGCATCGTCCCGGACACCACCCTGGCTCCAGCCGGGTCCCAGAGGCCGGACACCAGGGGCAGGCCCTCTGGGGCAGCAGGCGAGGTGGGCAGCCTTCTGAGGGGTGCCCCCTCTGCACTCCCAACCCAGGTCCGGCGGGCGGCGGATGACCAAGGTGGTGCGCGACTTCCTGCAGGCCCAGCAGGTGCAGGCGCCGGTGGAGCTCTACTCGGACTGGCTGACCGTGGGCCACGTGGATGAGTTCATGACCTTCATCCCCATCCCAGGCACCAAGGTGAGCCAGTCCCCAAGACTGGACAGGAAAGGATAGTAGAGGACCCAAGTACTCCTGGCCCTTGCCAGCCAAGGGCAGGGTCTGAAGGAAACAGCACAGAGGAAGAGGGAAGTAGGCTGAAGCTGGTTTGTCGGTTGTGGCTGTAGCAGGTGAATTTTTAACCCAGGAAACCCAAAATATTGGCATTTCAATATGTAATTAATATAAGAATTATTTATTAGCCATTTTTCATTTTCTGTTCATGCTAAATCTTCACGATCTGGTATTTTATTCACATAGCACCTCTCTAGGCAAGATCAGCCACAGCTCTAGTGGCTACTGAACTGGCCACAGCACTCTAGAGGGTGATGCAGGGTGGGCCTTGGGTCTGGGGAAAGTTCTTCTATCTTATGACGTGAAAGGAATGGCTGCCACTTCCTGCCCTGGACGTTCTGTGCAGCTTGGAGAGGTTCCTCCACTCTGTCCAAGGCCATCTTTTTTTTAATATATGTATAACTTTATTTTATTTTTTATGTGGTGCCTCACACATGCTAGGCAAGCGCTCTGCCCCTGAGCCCCAGACCCAGCCCCCCAAGGCCATCTTTGACTCTGAGCTTTGACCCAGTGATATTGTCAGAGTGGACGGTGGGTGAGAAATCGTCCTCTGAGACAAAGCCCACAGGGCGGCCCCTGCAGCCCAGTACGGGGGGTGAGAGCTGAGGTGCAGATGGGGCTCTGGGTCCTCAGGCCAGGGCTCCCTCTGCTCCTCGGCCACCTTCTCCTGCTGACTCTAAGCCACGGGAATGTCTTGCAGGAGTTCCGGTTGCTCATGGCCAGCACCTCAGCCTGCTACAAGCTCTTCCGGGAGAAGCAGAAGGAGGGCCACGGGGAGGCCATCATGTTCAAAGGTGGGTGTCCACGGGCCTGGGCAAACACTAGGAAACGGGAGCCCCAGAGAGACCCTCAGGGGGCTGGACACATATACACCTGTCCCTTGTGCCCAGCCCCGTGTCCCTGGGCATCTGGCCCACCCTGGGTGTAGGAGGCATCGTGGTGGGAACAGCACCTGCCTCTCATCTCCCTTGCTGTGACCAGGTGGACGCTGAGCTGTCCACTGCCTCTCACTGTCCTCAACAGCACAGAGTGCCTCTTCAGCACCCAGTGTGTGCTTTAAATGACACAAGGCCAGAGGAGAGTCCAAGGGTTGACTCTCACAACCAGGACGCCTCACGCACTCAGAGAGCTTCTGCTCTGCAAAGAGAGGGAGAGGAAAGCACCTACTGCGTTCAGGCCCAGGAAGAGACGCGAGTTTGGGCAGCCGGGGTGCACGGCCAGGCGTCATCACCCTGGGCCCCAGAGTGAGAGTGACCTGCTGAATTCAGACACCCAGCAAACTGGGACAGCTGTAGACAGGGATAAGGTTTGCACTTAAGTTAATCATAGAAAAAACAGAAAGCTGATCTGGTAGAGACAACCAGCCAGGTTAGAGAGGACAGGGCAATGTCTATTTCTTTATTTTTTTTAATTGTGGCAAAATGCACATAACCTATTTATCATTTTAGCCACTTCTATTCAGAAACATTGATACATTTAGAGCTGGGCACAGTAACCCCAACTTCTTGGGAGGCTGAGGCAAGAGGATGGCAAATTCAAGGCCAGCCCCCACAATTTAGTGAGACCCTGTCTCAAAGAATAAGGGCTGGAGTGCAGCTCAGTGGCAGAGCACTTGCCGACCATGCGCAAGGCCTTGGGTTCGACCCTCAGTACAGCAAATAAAAAAAGGAAATCAAAATAAAAAATGAAAAAGGGCTGGGGATGTAGCTCAATAGTAGAGCACCCCTGAGTTCAACCCCCAGCACCGCAAAAATGATAATAACGATAATGATAACAATGTGGGCCGACCATCACCTTCACCTCCATCCATTGTTTCTTAAGTTACTTTTTGCCCCTTTGAGGCAGGCGCCGAGCAGGAGGTGGGGCTGGACAAGCAGGAGGGTGACTCTGCTTCTGCCACACTCAGCCTGGTGCTGCTGGTCCCTAGGAGCAGGTCTACTTGTGCCACCCACCCCTCTGGCCAGACAGAGAGCAGGGCTGCCGCTTCTCTCCTGGCTCAGGTGACAAGAGGGACCCAAGAGAAAGGAGTGTGTCCTGCTGTCCCCAGGCAGAGGGCCAGGATTTCCCCTGTCCTGGCCTCTCCGGCCCCCAGCCCGGCCCTGGCCCTGTCCTCCATTCCTGTCCAGCAGTTATCTCAGACAGAGCCCCCCGCCCCCAGCCCCATATCTGAGGCCTGACCATCTGCCCTCCATGGCCCACAGGCTTGGGCGGCATGAGCAGCAAGCGGATCACCATCAACAAGATCCTGTCCAACGAGAAACTGGTGCAGGAGAACCTGTACTTCCAGGTGAGGACGGGCAGGGCCCCAGGGAGCTTCCAGGCTCCCGTCCGCGCACCTCGGGGGCTTCCGCAGAGAATGCGCAGGGCCCAGGGCTTAGACCCAGAGTGCGTCAGCACCAGGAGGCTCAGCAGGCACTGAGCTGAAGGTGGAGGGTGAGGGGCCACCTAGTCCCTTCTAGCAGAGACTGGAAGCAAACAAACAGGAGACCAGGAAAGGAAGGTGGCCAGTAGTGCCAAAGAGCCGAGGTCTCAGCTGCACGAGAGCCCATGCCCTTGAGAACACAAAACCAAAAACTTGCTCTCCAGGGGAAAAAAAAAAAAAGGTTTTAGGAGCACATGCCAACCTCTGAGTTTTAGCTCAAAGGTCCCTGAGGTCTTCAGACCCCCCCTTCTGAATTCCTAAGTCTCAAATTGCATCAAGAAATACAAATTAGTCATATTTATTTGAATTGGGTATTTATTGGGCAATTTAAAAGAACCACATTTTTAAGAATTAAAAAGCAGGAGCCAGGCACTGTCGTGTGCCCACCTGTAATCTCAGCAGCTTGGGAATCTGAGGCAGGAGGATTGCAAGTTCAAGGCCAGCCGCAGCAACTTAAAAAGGCCCTAAGCAACTAGAAAGTGGCATGGATTTCAGGCACAAGTTGATCAGGGCTCCAGCTCCACGTCTCTGCATTTCTTGTTCTCTCAGATGCCCCCGTGGTAGGAACAGGGCTGCAATAGTTCAAGGCCCCAGGCCACCCAGCACGCCATCTACAGAGAAAGAGCTCTTCCATGCCCACCGACAACTGAACAAGAGTTTGCTTTTCTCACTCTGATGTGGGCCAACCTGAACCAATTCCCATGGCCAGGGGAGGTGGGGATTCTGTGTCCTGTTTTGCTCCATCCTGGATCAAAGCCCATTCCTGACCCCATCACAGGGGCAAAGGGGCAGAGGCAAGAACTAGTTAGAGTTCCCCCCGAAGACCAGAGTGGGGCCGATCCACCCAGCAGCAGGGAAGAGGGGTGAAGAGGACCCCGGGGAAGCCATGTAGCACCCAGTAAAATCTACAGAAGGCCTCACCGGCCGCGGGAAAGTGGTCCGCTGCTTGTAGCAGTAGGATCCCGGCAGCTCGCGAAGGAGACTCTGCCTTTGGTTCCCTTGTGGCTACAAAAGGGACGACAGTGGCGTCTGCCTCCTGGGTTGGAGCTGAAAGAGCTGATCTGTGGGAAGTGCTTGGGACAGGGCCAGTTCTTGTACCCGTTAGTGTCCACTCGCAGCAGAATCTTCCTGAGTGTCACCCTCACCTCCTGGGGTGGTGTGAGGGGCCACGGAGACACTGTATGAGGAGCACTTAGACGGGGTCTGGCTCCTCGTAGATGCTCATAAGTGACAGTTGCTGGGATTATTTCTGGAACCTTCCTCGGAGTTGCTACTGTCCCTGAGCCCTGTGGAGGGGCCCTGGGAGATGTGGTGCTGGCTAAGCACAGGAAGTCTCTCTGGGGTGCTATGGCCCCTGGCCTGCTGCTGCAGAGAAGGTGACAGGTGTGTGTCACCTTACCTGCGTGTTCTCCTGCTGTCCCCACCCAGCGCTGCCTGGACTGGAACCGTGACATCCTCAAGAAGGAGCTGGGGCTGACGGAGCAGGACATCATTGACCTGCCCGCTCTGTTCAAGATGGATGAGGACCGCCAGGCCAGAGCATTCTTCCCAAATATGGTGAGACCCCCAGAACCTGACCCTCACCCCACACCATGTAGGAGGTAGCCAGATCCAGGAGGAACTCCGATTGAAGCTATCCAATCAGGAGGCCTATGTCCTGGTCCCGGGTGAGCTGCTGTGTGACCTCACCCCAGGCACTCGCCCTCTCTGAGGTCCTCCATTCCCTCCTAGCGGGGATAGGCTTGTCCTAGCTTCCTCGCCAGGGTAATGAGAGTCCTATACCTCATCGGAGAGGAAGTGCTTTGCATCAGGTACAAAGGCCTCTATGTACAGGAGGGATTCTTGTTACCATAGAGGGGAGTCTCCATGAGGCAGAAAGCAATTAGATCAACACACACACACACACACACGTGAGCTCAAGTGCACACAAATGCACTATAAACCCACGTGTGTGCATATCCACACACATGTATAAGATGTATGTGTTTGTTCCGATGTGTGCACATTCACCCACGTGAACACACGTGAACTCACACATGTGCACACCTTTGCACACACATACACACAAGGCAGGGGTTGCCTGGTTTCCCACCTCAGCCCCGCCATTCATGAGTTGCTTAGCCTCCTCTGGGCCTCAGTTTCCCCATCCATAAAGAGGGGATTGTTCTAGTACCTTCTTCATAGGATTAAGGAAGGGTCCTCGGAGCTTGGGTCAGGGCAGACCTGTAGCCAGTGCCACTAAACGACTGACCCTGTGGTAGGTGAACATGATCGTGCTGGACAAGGACCTAGGCATCCCCAAGCCGTTCGGGCCCCAGGTGGAGGAGGAGTGCTGTCTGGAGACACACGTGCGCGCCCTGCTGGAGCCCCTGGGGGTCACCTGCACCTTCATCGACGACATTTCCGCCTACCACAAGTTCCTGGGGGAGGTCCACTGTGGCACCAACGTCCACAGGAAGCCCTTCGCCTTCAAGTGGTGGCACATGGTGCCCTGACCTGAGGGAGCCCCGGAGCGTCCCTGCTTCCCTAAGTCCTCCAGGCCTCTCACACCCCAGGGGCCCTCCCCCTGCCTGACCAGACGGGGTGGCACCACTGGGAGACCTACAGGGAGCAGGGTGGGATTTGGGGTACCTGTGCCTTGTCCTCCCCGGGAAGGGCCTCGGTGTCCACTGAAGCCACCCCAGGGAACTCACCCCTGACCCTCCTGAAACTAGCCGGGCATTTGGCCACTCTCTGTAGAGCCCTGGTGCAGGAAACAAAGCAAACCAACAACAAAAAAAATCACATCCCCAGACCATGCCCAAGAATTCTCTATTTGCAATTGGAATGAGGGAAAAGGGAAGGGGATTCTGGGATCACAGGGTCTTCAGCAGCCATGCCCTGAAGTTCAAGGTGGAACACATGGAAATGCACCCTGGGCCCTGATGCACCTTAAACTGCACCGTTATTTCAAATTCGCCTTCCTGGGGTCTCCAGGTGCCACCTCCAATCCATTCCTTACTGCCTCTCAGCCCTTCTTAGCTTTCTCTCTGCAATGCAGACACCCAGCCCTCCTGCTCCCCGAGGGCCCAGGGATTCAGCTCAGAACTTTCCCTGGAAACAGATGCATCAGAGCGGTTTCTCCATGTGCTTCTCCCCAGGGGCTTGAGGCTCCCTCCCCTGAGACCAGCACCTCCTGAGCCTGAGTTCAGCATGTAAAGATGCCCCATCAACCCCAGCCACTTTCTCTTGCCTGGTCCTCGAGTCTATGGCCAGGCTCTGACCCCTCTCCTGCCACCACCTCAGGTCCCATCCTTCCTACTGCTGGCAGCTAAATGCCAGCTTCTTTGCCTCCAGCCACATTCAGACCTTCCCCAGGGCATGGGAAACAAACCACCCCTCCTCCTAGACCTCAGACCCAACATGGAAGGACCCTGGCCTCACCTCCAGCCCAAACAGCTGCTGGCCTTCGAGGTGGACCGACCCTCCTGTTGAAGTTCACCAGTGTGTTTGCCAAAGATTCTTTCATTTGGACACATCCAGATAAATTCCCTGAGTCCAATGAAAAGAGTTAACTTCAGCTTAAAAAAAAAAATTCCTTTAGGACCAGGAGCATAAGTAAATTATAATTTCACTTTGAAGGTTAAAAAAAAAGAACTATTTTATAACCAATGAAGAGGTTATAAATCTGTGTTCTTGGGGGAACAGGATTTTCACTTTGGATCATTTCATTCGGGCACTCAGTAAGCACTTGTTGCATGGCTGCTGAGCTCGGGCACCGAGCCAGCCTCTGAGAATAGCAAACCGGGCACGGAACCAGTCAGTCCCCAAGGCTAAGAAACTACCTTTGAATGCTCAGCCTTGAGCTGGGGATGTAACTCAGCAGTAAAGCATTTGCCTAGCATGTGCAAGACTGTGGGTTCCATCCCCAGCATTGCAAAAAGTTAAAGTTTAAAAAATTAAAAATAAGCCAGGCGTTCAGGTGCACACCTGTAATCCCAGCAGCTCGGGAGGCTGAGGCAGGAGAAGCGCAAGTTCAAAGCCAGCCCCAGCAATGGCGAGGCGCTAAGCAATTCAGTGAGACCCTGTCTCTAAATAAAATACAAAATAGGGCTGGGGATGTGGCTCAGTTTGGTCGAGTGCCCCTGAGTTCAATCCCCAGTACCTAAAAAAATTAAAAATAAATTTAAAAAGTAATAAACAGGCAGCCTTTACCCTTCGATGTTGTACTTTTTAGAAATTCCACTTTATTGCGGCTGGGGATATAGCTCAGTTGGTAGAGTGTTTGCTTCGCATGCACAAGGCCCTGCGTTCAATCCCCAGCACCACCACTAAAAAAAAAAAAAAAGAAATGCCTCTTTATTCAGGAAATACTCAGGGCACAAATCTTCCCAAAAGTCACTGACCCCATGAAATTGGGATGGGGGCGTCTTCTTTAAGCAAGCCCCTTTCCCATCCAGCGGGGCCAGTACCACCTCTCAGATCAGAGACTCAGAAATGGTTGTCCCCCCCCCCCCTGGGGACAGTGGCTCCTGTTGGATCTTCTCTCCAACCCCAGACGTGAAAACACAAGTGCCTCTCTGAGGGTGTGCATCTAGAGACTGTCCTGTGTGTGCGTTTGGTTCATGTGGGTTTGTGGGTTTTCTTTTATTTTTATCTAGTCTACATGAAGGGGAAGTGAGCACCCCCACGTGCAGGCGGTGTGTCTTGTAGCTTTTCCTAAAGGTCTCCCCATCCTAAATCAGTGATCTCTGAAGTGTCTGGAAGCCCCAGGGCTCAGACACTGTCCTGCCCACCCAGTGTGCCTCCCCTCAGTGTGGATGTACCCCGTGGACTCGGCGCTCTTCCCCGCCCCCCTTTCTATAAATGTCAACCCAGAACTTCTGTGTTGCAAAACCCAGCCAAGTTCCTGTTTTGGTCTTGATTTTGAAATATTCAGTGTGAGATGGCAGGGGGTGTCGTGAAGATGGCCGGAGCTGGGCACAAGTTCAACTTTCTGGAAAAGAGGTCGTGGTGGAGATGGAAAGGTGTTTGCCGAAGAGCCTGACAAAAGAGCAGTAAATAAAGAGTCCGAGGGGAAATCACGTGGCTGTGGGCGTGAGGTTCTTTGCGGCTTCCTAGATATGGTCCTGAGGGACACAGACCACATGGGGCCCCGTCTGGCCCTGAAGCCCCTGCTAGTCCGCACACCAGCTCCAGGCTCTCGGCAAGGTATCTCAAGTGTCTGGAATCACACCTATACTGTGTTTGCATGTGACAGGGCTACCTCCCAGGGTCAAGATCAATATCCCTAGTAAAGTCAGGGATGCAGACCCTGAGACAAGCATTTGGGAACACGTGGTTTATTTAAGAGTGTCCCCAGGGGAAGCCAGTAAGGAAATCGGGAGAGTAGGACAGGGAAGGAGAAGCCGAACAAGGTGTGAATTCAGGTGCTGCCTCAGCCCTAGCCCTGAAGAGCACCTGAGAGATGTACCACCTGGAGGCCGAGTCTCCCCACATCTACACCAGTCGGTCACGGGCTCTGGGGCCTCTGGTTCTCTGAATGGGCGGGGCCACCAAAGCCCATAGGGAGCCACTTAGAGAAGATGGTGTCTGTAGTTACGAACAAGGTCAAGGTCACAGGGGCTGGAGACAGACTCACAGAAGCAAAAGAAAAGGTGTGGGCAGGACACAAACCATGCCCGCTGCTTCTGGTAGCTCCATGTTCTCACAACAGGGAGTCCTTACACACAGGATTGGCGATTTTACCCGTCGTATAATGACCCATGCAGCACAGCCACAGTCTAACAGGGTCTGAGTGAGCAAACCCCCAAGACCCTGACTTGGAGCCTCTGGTTGGTTTCTGGACCTCCTAAGCCCCTTGGGACACACCTGGGCCCCTCACTCCTCAGGCCTTTCTTGGGTTTCTGGACTGAGGTGTTGGTGCACCTGTCTTCAGGGGCCAATGCAAAAAAAAAAAAAATCACTGGTTCTTTTACTTCCAGGCTTAAGCCATGGTCCAGCCCTGTGAGATCACTCTTCTCTCCTCCCTTTTATTGAAATTAACACATAATAATGGTGCCTCTTACAGTACAGAGTGATACATGTATACAATGGATAATGATCAAATGAAGGTAATTAGTATTTCCGTCTCCTGTCTCCTTAAACATCAGTCATTTCTTTGTACTGGAAGTCTTCAAACTTCTGTGTTTCAGCTTTTCTTTTCTTTTTTAGACATTGATGGGCCTTTATTTTGTTCATTTATTTATATGCGGTGCTGAGAATCGAACCCAGTGCCTCACACATGCTAGGCAAGTGCTCTACCACTGAGCCAGTTTTTTATAAAAAAAAAAAAGGGGGGGGGGGCGACATGGTGTTGCACACCTGTAATCCCAGCCACTCCAGAGACTGAGGCAGGAGGATCACAAGTTTGAGGAGAGCCTCAGCAACTTAGCATGACCCTGTCTCAAATAAAAAAAATTAAAAAGGGCTGGAGATATATCTTAGTGGTAAAGTGCCCCTGGGGTTAATTTTTTGCAAACTACAGCTATCCCACTGGGCTACAGAACACTAGCATTTATTCCCCTTATCACATCATAGTCTGGTTTTCATTTTCCAATTCTTTTTATCCCTCCACCCACCCCTGCCTTTTTATATCCGATTAACGTGGTCCAAGTCACAGCAAGGCTGATCTGAAATAGTTCCCTGATCCTCCCATTCCTGAAACTCCTCAAAAGGTGTTGGTGTGTTAAACAAGTTTATCCAGGTACTATTTTCACATTGTGGCCACTCCCTTACCTCAGCATTGCTGAGATTACGCTGAGACAAAAAAAAAAAAAAAAAAAAAAAGCACTTTCCAATAAAATATAATGCAAGCACCCATGTAACTTTAAGTTCCCTAATAGCCACATTAAAAAGGTTAAAATCAGGAGCTGGGGTGGTGGCTCAGTTGTAGAGTGCTTGCCTAGCACGTGTGAGGCACTGGGTTCAATTCTCAGCACCACATATAAATAAATAAATAAAATAAAGATCCATCAACGACTAAAAAAAATTTTAAAAAGCTAAAATCAGATAAAATTAATGTTATTAATATATTTTCTTTAACCTAGTATATCCAAATTATTATCGTTTTGACATATAAGCAAAATTTTAAATTTTTAATGAGAATTTCATATTCTCTCTCTTTTTTTTTTTCTGTGATAAATCCTTGAAAACTGATGTGCATACTATACTTACATCAACCTCTCTTGGGACTAGCCACATTTAAGTGCTCCATGACCACACACTACACAAGTAGCTACTGTTGGGAGGCATAGTTCTAGAAACTTCTCTGCCGGACTGAACCCCAACGAGGGAAACAGGCACCTTCCTTCAATCCCCAGCTACTCTGACTGCAAGGATTAATACGATTTTATTATAATACTTAAAAGAAAAAGGTACAATAGATATCAACCCTTGTCACTGGTAACTAAATACAGAGAAACACCAGGCGGAGGCCTGGCTGATGTGAGAAATCTGCTTTCTCACCTGGGCTTCACCCCGGATCCTTCCACTGCAGCCAGCGGGGCTCCTATCAGCCTGCTGGTTGCCTTTGTGAGAGGAGCCCTCAGTTCGGGGCCCAGGCTGGCCTCAAACTCCTCAGCTCAAGAGACGCTCCTGCCCCAGCCTCCTCGTAGCTGGGATTATGGGTACATACCACCATACCCAGCTCAGCCCGACCTTTGAGAAACGAGGGTCTGCCGAGATCAGATCACGCTGGCTCCAGCCTCAGTTCTCGCCCTCCACAAGCTCAGGCCCACCCCCCCCCCCATAGTCCTGGTCACACCCCAAGATGGCTCTGCAGCAGCCTCAGCCAGCATGCCCCCTCGGGCTCCCCTGCGCCCCATGTGTTAAAGAGACTCGTCCACCTTTCCAAGGAATTTTTGCTTTTCCTCCTGCTGGCGATTTCTGGCACCTGGGCAGTGCTCAGCAAATCTGTTGAGTGACAGAATGAAATATCTGTTCAGCCAGGTGACGGATGCAGAAAAAACAGTTCAGCCATTTCTTTCTTTTTTTATTATTTTTAATTGTTCTTACTTTCAGGGATCAAACCCAAGGCCTTGTGCATGCTGGGCAAGTGCTCTACCACTGAACTCCACCCCAGCCCCCACCATCATAATCACTGATTACACACCTGCCAGATTGGACCACATGGAGCGCCACTTTAGAGGTCAAAATAGTCCAACAGAGAAGATTTCATATGGTTCCACCTAATATTTGACATTCATTATCTCCTAATTTGCGAGACAAAGCTGTGAAGTTATTGACCAATTTTATAGACAAGGACAATGGGACTCAGGGAAGGGGGTCGAACAGCCCAAAATAATGGAACCAGGATTCATGCTTAGGGTCTGGGCCCAGAGCCCAGCGCCTGAGCCCTACCCACGTCTAACAAGTGGGCTTTGTTCCATTCACAAAGGTCACCCCCACACCAGCCCTTTCTTAGCATGCTGGGTGTCCTGTTGGAATCTCACCAACAAGAAAACCCCGTTACCTGTAAGCAAAATGTCGGAGATTGTAGGATTCCTCTACCTGGCCTAGCAGTGCTGTCTCTGGCCTTCCACTCAGAGCAAGATGTCCTCTCTGCTGAGTGCAGTGGAGCATACCTGTAATCCCAGTGGCTCAGGAGGCTGAGGCAGGAGGATCGTGAGTTCAAAGCCAGCCTCAGCAAGAGCAGGCACACAGTAACTCAGTGAGACCCTGTCTCTAAATAACATACAGAATAGGGCTGGGGATGGGGCTCGGTGGCTGAGCACCCCTGAGTTCAATCCCTAGTACCCCCTCCAAAATGGCATCTCTGGGTCATGAAAAGCAGACGACCCATATCCACCCACCCAACCATTTCTTTTAACATCTGCTAAGCAGCTATTAGGTGTAAAACTAGAGCAATCCTCTAATTTTTCACCTAAACCAGGACATTTCTGAGAGCAAAAGGAGCCCCACAAATAATTCCACCAGGACAACAGTTGAAATCGGAACTGTGCTGGGCACACGGGATGGGAAACCCCACAGAGGGGGTGACGTCTCACCCTCAAGGAGCTGATGGCCTGGTCAGCTAGACAGACAGGACAGCAGACAGGCTGACGGAGGAGGGGCCCCGATACACTTTCGCTGAATGGAAAAATGAATGTGGCACAGAAAGCTGTGGAATCACACATGCACGAGCGCGCGCGCGCACACACACACACACACACACACACAATTCCTTCTTCCTGCTGGGAGAGTGACCAAGGGTGTTCCTTCCAACTGGGATCAGAGTCAGTTGAATCAATGGGAGAATGAATGGTTGGGCAGAGGGAGGGGCCGTCCCCGCTGCAAAGAAAGGACTGTGAGCTTGTGACACAACGGGAAATGGTGACCACACAGAGTGGCTAAGATCTTGTCGGGGCTCAGAGAACAATATCCCCAAACAAGGCATACCTTGGCATGCTGAGCAGTGTGATCAGAAGGAACTAAGGGCTTTTAGAGCAGGCTCAGAATCCAGGTCCCCTAGGCCTGTCTAAGAAGAAGCAGTGACTTCCGGCCCCCTCCCTGGGCTTTGTGGGAAGACTGAAGTCGGCCAACACACTGGACAGACTTTTGGTCCACACCACCATCCTCTATTTCATACAGAATCTTTACAAACCACTCTATCCTGGGGGCCCAATGGACTTTGTCCCGAGTCATTTTTTAGTGTTCTCCAAACCCACTGAATCCCCCTAAAAATTACCTGCACTCCCTATTCCCCACTTCCCCTATGGAAAAGGGGTGTATGAACTTCCAAATCCTGTTGGGCTGGTGGGTAATGACACCCGGTGATTGCCTCTTTGCACGTAATAAATGTGTGCCTTTTCTCCAGTCTGTCTGTCAGTGTATTTCAGAGGACAGTGGGGAACTCTCCCTTTGCACTTACAATACATCGTATGTCATGCTGGGAGCATTAGGGCTTGAGCACTGGGAGTCCCCTGGGGGTTGGGGTAGCTGCAGTTGCATGATCCATGCTGCATTTTAGAAAGCAAGCAGTGACCTATGTTTCTTTCTTTCTTTTTTCCCCCCCTTTTGGTAGTGCTGGGGTTTGAACCCGTGC